ACAGGCGCCTGCCACCACACCCGACTAATTATTGTATTTTTAGTAGCGATGGGGTTTTGCCATGTTGGCCAGGCTGGTCTCGAGCTGCTGACCTCAAGTGATCTGTCTGCCTCCGCCTCCCAGAGTGCTGGGATTACAGGCATCAGCCACTGCGTCCAGTCTGCTATGTAAATTATATCTGAATAAAGCTGTTTAAAATAAAATACGCTTGTAACGATCTCAAAAAGACTGTTCTAGAAGCCTGCTATGTTAATTATGTTTGAATAAAGCTGTTTAAAATAAAATAGAAAGGCTTGTAAAGGTCTCAAAAAGACTGTTCTAGAAGTGCTGTCTGTATTAGACTCTGCCTTCACCTGTTGTTTCTCCCCTCACATCCAAGGTCACATGAAGGCATCTCCTCTTGCAGTCTCTCTTTACATGTTAAATTCTTGCTTTTTCTTCATTCGAGCTTTTATCCCCATTACTTACCCTAGACTTTCAGAATCAAGGCTTGGTTTTTTTTCTTTCCCATTTTTTTTTTAGCTTATTCAAATTAATTGACTTTTTTTTAACCTTGTATCCTTCTGCTAAAAACCTATACAAAAGTTGTTGTTTCTGTCTTTCAGCCCTAGCTGCTCTTTCAATTCTGTGTTTAATATATAATCTATAAATAACCTATGTGTTACAGCCACATGTCTTTTTTTTTTATAGATGGAGTCTTACTCTGTCACCTAGGCTGGAGTGCAGTGGCAGAATCTCGGCTCACTGCGACCTCTCTTTCCCGGGTTCAAGCAATTCTCCTGTCTCAGCCTCCTGAGTACAGGCGTGCGCCACCACACCTGACTAATTTTTGTATTTTTAGTAGAGACGGAGTTTCACCATGTTGGCCAGGCTGGTCTTGAACTCCTGAACTCAAATGATCTGCCCGCCTCAGCCTCCCAAAGTGCTGGGATTACAGGTGTGAGCCACAGTGCCCGGCCTACATGTCATTTAAATTAAAATTTAAATGTCTTGGTTCATTTACTGTTGATGATTTTACAAACTTAACAGTGAAAACGCTGTTGGCTGAGAAACTTTAGGAACTCTGGGTGAATACACGGTTGGTTGAATGTCCTGGCTTTAGAGCTGTCATCTAGTCAGTAGTGGTTCATTTCGTCTGGGCCTGGAATTCACATGAATTAACCTAGCGAGCCTAGTGTTACTAGGAACAGGAAGTTAGGGATGGCAGCTCTTGGTTAGATGACATTGACATGTGGTGATTTTGTGCGCTGAAGAGAAAACTTTAAAAATAATTGGCGAACTTCTCTTCCTTAGCCTTCCTGTTGACAATACTTATCTCATTATCTTAATAGGGTTTCGTGTTGGTTTTCACATCTCTCTTTCAATACATTTGTCATCAAAGGTTCCATTCTTCTTGCCTTGAATATATACAGACTTAATGTCTATCTCTACCATTACTCCCTCCCTTCCTTTTCCTGAAGAACTTGGATCCTCCAATCTATTACTGCTCTTTTGGAAACTCTTTCACCTACTTTAAAATCCACTGGCTCCAGTTTATTGTATTGTTGACTGCAAAGCAAAGTACTGCTTTGACTGTAGTTTCTAACTCTATTCCTGTGGCTTAGTTTGCCCCTTTACCTCTAGCAAGATGATGCTTCTCACATCCTCTCTGTCCTGTCTGCTTAGCCCCTGTTATTTTCCCATGCAGCCTGAGGCTGGAAATGGCTCCTTATTTTGTACTTGCCAGGTTGTTGTTACAGTCTCCCTGGCCAAAAGGTTAAGGAAAACCAGAAAATAATTTACTCAAGTCTACCTTTTTATCTCAATATCTATTCTAATATGTTCTTTACTCCCTTCATGTATTTATAGAATGTGCATACTTCTTATTCATGTTACTAGCAAATGTGAAGCAGAGCATATCATTAAAGGATGAATAATTAACAAATTGTTGAATTTCTCAAAATACCCAGAGCTCTTTATTCATCTTACTAAAATAAATTGCTTTACAGGGCCAAGAGCAATTTCAAGCATCATGCTACATAAAAGTTTTTTTTTTCTTTTTTTTTTTTTTTAAACTGAGCAGAGTCTCGCCGTGTCACCCAGGCTAGAGTACAGTGGCACAACCTTGGCTCACTGCAGCCTCCTCCTGGATTCAAGAGATTCTTGTGCCTCAGCCTCCCAAGTAGCTGAGATTACAGGCGTGCACCATGATACCTGGATAATTTTGTATTGTCAGTCGAGACAGGGTTTTGCCATGTTGGCCAGGCTGGTCTTGAACTCCTGACCTCAAGTGATTCGCCCGCCTTGGCCTCCCAAAGTGCTGGGTTTATAGGCGTAAGCCACCACACCCAGCCACAAATTCCTAATAAAGTCCTTGTATACTTTGATAGTGTAATTACTTAATTTTAGATGTATTAGAGGCAGATTTTTAAATGGGATTTCAAGGCAGATTTTTTAGTTATAAAAATCAAAATATCTCCATAATTACCATTATAAAGGTAATATATACATACTGTAAAAATTTTTTAAATATATAAGAACTTAACTATAAGCCATTCAGCCTATTGACTTTTAATACATATTATTCAGTACTATTTTATATACACATAAAAGCAGATTTGTGTATGACAACTGTATTGTTATAGGCAGTAAAATCAATTCAGATTCTGTGACAAAGGAAAATGGCTATAGTAGATGAGAATATAAGCTGGATACTAGCTAGGAAAATAAGTCCATGTTAACTTTGAAGGAAAACAAAAATTATATGTAAATAAATTACTAAATTTGATTTGCCATACTGTTTATTTGAGTTGAAAAATGATATAAAAATGTAAAGACCTACATGCCTTACAAACACATCAGAAAGTGTTTTGGGGTTCTAGGCTGTAAAATTGCTTGTAGATGCAAACACAAAGTAGCGGTTCTGTTTTTTTCTCCCTGAAAATGAAAATTGTACTGTTTTTTTCCTGTTAAAGTAATTGTGAAGAAAATTCAGAATCTGAAAAACCCAAACAAGAAGAGAAAATTACTCATTCTACAGACAATAAAATTATATATCATTTCAGACCTTTTCATAGTAGAATTTTTACAAAGTATTATAAATGCTTCTTTGTAACTGGGGTTTTTTTTTTTCCTGCTTAACAAGATCTCTTAAGCCAGTATGTAGAGTTCTGTATAATATCTAATTAATGGTTAACAATATCCTATTTTAGAATGTACTTTCTTTTACTTAACTAATCCCCTATTTAGGTTGTTTAGTTTTAGGTATTCTGCAAAAGCTATGATGGATGTTCTCATACATGCTTTGCATGCTTTTCTGATTATTAGGATAAATTTCTGGAAGTGACGTTGTGTGAAAGGTACATGCATTTTTTTTTTTTTTAAATAGAGGCAGGGTTTTATTCTGTCACCCAGGTTGGAGTACAGTGATGAGATCATAGCTCACTACAGCGTCGAAGTCCTGGGCTCAAGTGATCCTCCTGCCTCAGCCTCCCAAGTAGTTGGGATTATAGGCATGCACTACCACATCTGGCTAATTTAAAAGTTTTTTTGTTTTTGTTTTTGTTTTGTTTTGTTTTTTTGTAGAGATGGAGTCTCACTATATTGCACAGGCTGGTCTGGAACTGCTGGGCCCAAGTGATCCCCCTGTTATGGCCTCCCAAAGTGTTGGGATTATATGTGTGAGCCACCACACCCAGCCAATATATGCATTTTTTCTTTTTTTTTTTTTTAAATTTAGAGACAGTGGCTCACTCTGTCACCCAGGCTGGAGTGCAGTGGTGCAATCATAGCTCACTATAGCCTCCACCTCCTGGGCTCAAGTGATCCTCCTTCCTCAGCCTCCCAAGTAGCTGAGATCACAATTGTATGCCACCATGCCCAGCTAATTTTAGAAAATTTTTTGTAGCGATGGGGTCTTAACTCTGTTGTGCAGGCTGATCTCAAACTCCTGGCTTCAAGTGATTCTCTTGTCTCAGTCTCCCAAAGTGCTGAGATTACAAGCATGAATCACCATGTCCAGCCTAATACCTGCATTTTTATTATTTTTATTTTATTTATTTATTTATTTTGAGAAGGAGTCTTGCTCTGTAGCCCAGGCTAGAGTACAGTGGTGTGATCTTGGCTCACTGTGACCTCCATCTCCTGGGTTCAAGCAATTCTTCTGCCTCAGCCTCCCAAGTAGCTGGGATTACAGGCATGTGCCACCTGGCTAATTGTTATATTTTTAGTAGAGATGGGATTTCGCTCTGTCGGCCAAACTGGTCTTGAACTCCTGACTTCAAGTGATTCACCTGCCTCTGCCTCCCAAAGTGCTGGATTACAGGTGTGCATGTTTGATTCTAGTCACCACGCTGCCAACCAGAAAGGAATAACAAATTATAGTTACATACAAGATAGGGTTAACTTGTGTCCAGTTCTGTGCTATAATGCACTGTTAATGAGACTCCCGGCAATATACAAAGCCACAGCAGTATTATGATGGAGTTTATGTATTAGAGTTTCACATATTAGAGGAGTTGGGTTGAGTTCAGCAGCGAGGGAAATGCTTATATTGGCAACTTGGATTGTGTTGTATTCATTTTCAAAAGCAGCACTCAGGCCAGGTGTGGTGGTTCATGCCTGTGATCCCAGCACTTTGGGAGGCCGAGGCAGGTGGATCATGAGGTCAGGAAATCAAGTCCATCCTGGCTAACATGGTGAAACCCTGTCTCGACTAAAAAAAACAAAAACAAAAAAATTAGCCGGGCATGGTGGCAGGCGACTGTAGTTCCAGCTACTCTGGAGGCTGAGGCAGGAGAATGGCACGAACCTGGGAGGCAGAGGTTGCAGTGAGCTGAGCTCGTGCCACCGCACTCCAGCCTGGGTGACAGAGCGAGGCTCCATCTCAAAAAACAAAAGAAAACAAAACAAAAAACGCAGTACTCTCCCACCAGCAGTTAAACTGTGATGCTATGAGTATGTGTTGATATTTTGCTGTTTTGAGGACTTGGGCATAGAGCATGATCCTTTTCTTATCTTAGATGAGTGACCGAGGAGGTGGTGTTCCTCTGAGGAAAATTGACAGACTCTTCAACTACATGTATTCAACTGCACCGAGACCTCGTGTTGAGACTTCCCGCGCGGTGCCCCTGGTATGTTATCAAGAAATAGTGAAGTGTGTTTCTGTCAATTGCCTTCCACATGCTCTAGCTGCCAAATAAGTAAGTTAAGCCATCATGTAGGGTACTCCACAAGGAAGAAAGAAGCTCTTAGAAATGCACACTTTCCCCTACATTTAAACAACCTTCAGAACACTTTTTTTTTTTCAACTGAAATGGGCACGAGACAGAGATCTGGAGTTCTTGTTACAACGTTTGATCATGACATAGCAGTAGTTTTCCTGTGTAAAACCCTTTTTCAGAATGTGGTTAACCACATTATTTCTAATGTGGGGAATAAATTACTGGTTTTAGCAGTATTTGGTCAACACTGAATTACTTTTTAGTGTTTACTTTTTTCTCAAGTATTTGTCATTAGAATGATCTCATATCCTAGACTGAAAAATAAGACTAAAATTCTGATCTGTTCAATCACCAACCTGAGGGCTTAAATTATAATTTCTTTGATGGTGTTTTTATTAATCTTAGTTCCACCTATTTTCAGGTTTAATAGGATCAACTTTTGAATTGATTCCATCCTTATCTTTATGTTCTAACTCCCCCACAGAAAGTATGTTGCCAAAATTTTGTCTGTAATTCTAGAAGAGCTCTATTCTTCTTGGCTTGGAAACTTCTCTGACATTTCCAGTAGAATTATGCTGTAACATGATGGGATATAGTACAAGATAGATCTATTTTAGACCCCTTCCTAGGAAGTTACTAGGACTTTATTCTGATAGTTTTGTGTCCGGAATTGGTGGGTTCTTGTTCTCACTGACTTTAAGAGTGAAGCCGCAGACCCTCGTGGTGAGTGTTACAGTTCTTAAAGATGGTGTGTCCAGAGGTTGTTTCTTCAGATGTTCAGATGTGTCCGGAGTTTCTTCCTCCCGGTGCGTTCGTGGTCTCACTGGCTTTAGCAGTGAAACTGCAGACCTTCGTGGTGAGTGTTACAGCTCATAAAGGCAGTGCGTCAGGAGTTGTTTGTTCTCCTGGGGGGTTCGTGGTCTCGCTGGCTTCAGGAGTGAAGCTGCAGACCTGTGCAGTGAGTGTTACAGCTCATAAAGGTAGTGCGGACCCGGAGAGCGAGCAGCAGCAAGATTTATTGTGAAGAGCAAAGAACAAAGCTTCCACAGCGTGGAAGGCGACCCCAGTGGGTTGCTGTTGCTGGCTTGGGTGGCCTGCTTTTATTCCCTTATTTGGCCCCACCCACATCCTGCTGGTTGGTCCATTTTACAGAGAGCTAATTGGTCCACTTTACAGAGAGCTGATTGGTCCATTTTACAGAGAGCTGATTGGTTCATTTTGACAGAGTGCTGATTGGTGCGTTTACAAACCTTTAGCTAGACACAGAGTGCTGATTGGTGCGTTTACAATCCTTAGCTAAACAGAAAAGTTCCCCAAGTCCCCACCCAATCCAGAAGCCCAGCCAACTTCACCTCTCAGTTTTACCAGATGCATACCACAAATTCTGTGGCTACAGCTGTACTATAGTTGAAATGCTTGCTCTAGTAATGTCCTTTTCCAGTTGAGATACATGGCTTCCAGGAGTTGGCATCCATATATCAAGGGGCAGACAGACAATGTCAAATGATAAACATGAGCATCTTTTCATAAGTCTAGTTTTATGCTAAAAAGTAGAGGGAGAGACAGGAGCTGCTGTTTTTGTAGTAAACGAATATTGTAGAATTTTTGTAGAGAGTGGCATAGTGAGCTAGTCCAGACTCTGGATCTAAACTCTTTGATTCCATTTCTGATACTGCTGCATCTTAGATGTGCAGCCTTGGGAAAATTATTGACCTCTGAAGGCCAAAGTTTCCCCAGTTAGAAAAATGGAGTTATTGTGAGAATTCAGTGAGTTGATATATGTTAAAATGCTCTTTATAGTGCCTGGCTCATGGTAAATGCCATGTAAGTGTTTGTTATTTTAGGATATAAAATGTATGTGAATTTTTAAGAAAACAAGAGGCTTGACCTGAACAGGCTCCCGCATACATCTGCATGCCCTTAACAAGGCTAAGACTGTTAATAATTTCTTGCAGAGCCTCCTTTCTGCTGACCTCACTTTGTAGATGGTCCCAGTCAGCAGGCAGTAGGGTAGCTGGCAAAAGGCCAGCAGATGCCCACAGGAGTGGCTTTCTTGTCCACCTGGTTACTAAAGGCTTCTTCCCTGTGGATACCTTCTGGTGGGTGTTTGCATGGATAGGCTAGCTTTACACTGTAAGTCCAGAGAGGAACATCCACACATCTCTCTTCCAGACCTCCTTCTCATCCTTCGCTCAGTTTTGATCTTTCCGAATCTTTAACAAGCCAGCCACTTTTTGCCACTGCCCATGCTGGAAGGGTTTACTTTCACCCCGTCTTTCAGGTCTGCCCTCCAACCCTGACAGGGATTGTAGTAGGAACACGGCAGCCTACTTTCGGATGGTGATAGCACATGAATTCCATCAGTGGACCCAGAAGCCCAGCTAGCTTCACCTCTCAATCCCCACTCTAAACAGGACACTCTAACTGCTGTTGGGAATTGGGCAATGACTGCTGTAGCTACTTCCTGCTGGACAGGGACGAAGAAGGGGCCCTGCAGTGTAGTGGCCTCCAGCGGGGAGCTCTTTAGGTCAGTGAAAGGGCCAGTGGGTCAGTCCAGGGGTCCTCGGTAGAAGTTGTTAGTTGAGCTCATTTGGGGTTCCATTTGTAAGGCCATCTGTAGCTTGATGGCCTTGATTCTAGAGGAAACATTTGACAAGGAAGTTAAAAATACAGGGCCTGAAGGTGAGTAATAGCAAGATGGCTGTCACAGGACCTAGAAAGGGGAGAAACCATGTTGCCCAATGCCAGAGGTTAATATAAGAGTTTGAAAGGCGTTGTCTGATTTCAGAATACTTTTTCTGTAAACACCGGGTGACATCTCGGTCTATGCCTGACTGGTTAGTGTAAAAACAACACTCTTCCCCTAAGAAGGTGCGGAGTCCTCCGTTCTCAGCAGTGAGGAGGTCTAGGCCTCGGCGGTTTTGGAGAGTCACTGCTGCTAAAGAGAGCATTTGGGATTGTAGAGTAAGGATAGATTTTGTTATTTCTTGCAAACTGTCTGAGAAATCCTTTGAGTGTTTGTGGTAGTAGGATAATGAAGTAGATAAACTGGATATTCCGGTTCCTGTAGCAGTGGCCATTTCTAACCCTGTAAGTAGGGGTATTAGTTGTATGGCCCTGCGCTGAGGGACTTGAGCTTTGAGGAGCACTGATAGGGTCTGATTTCCATGAGATTAGAAGTTAGGATAATATATGTTACACTGTTAACTTTTAGCAAACTTTACTTTTATTGAAACCTTGTAAGTTTGGGATTTCAATTATTCTTTCCTATTAATAAGATCTCGTTCAGTCCATATTAACTTAAAATTGGTATAGATGGCTCCTTCCTGATTCTGTAACTACCTTAAGCGCTCACATTTGAGCAGACCGAATATTAGGCAATTTTCCTAACTCTGCTTCTACAAGAGTTTCCTTATCACTTACTGAATACCCATTGTGTCTTTTTCCCTTAATCGCCTGGGAGGAAACATCTATCGTCCTGTCCTGAAGGGAGTTCCTCCTTTGTGTGGTCGGACCTTCAGATTTAGATCCCCTGTTAGGAAACCCGCTGGGTTAAGGATTTTTGATAGGAAAGCTATGGGTTGTCAGTGGCCTCAGTGCTTTCAGGCTATGCCCTTGTTTACATGGACAACAAGGTGGTATTGGAGTATTATAGGGTTACAGAGAAGACCTTCAATTATCAATTATAGGTTTTAAATTTACCCTGGCTTGTAAAGGAATAGGGTATACTGTTTTTTCTTTGCTACTATCTCTCTTTCTCTTTGACTTCTTTGTCTCTTTCTGACTCTCTCTTTGTCTCTTCCTCTCTCTTTGACTTTCTGTGTCTTTCTCTCTGACTTCCTCTTTGTCTCTGTCTCCTCCTCTCTGTCTCTTTGACTTTGTCTCTTTCTTTCTTTCTCTCTGACTCCTTGTTTGTCTCTCTCTTCCTTTCTCTCTCTCTCTGACTTTCTGTCTCTCTCTCTCTTTCTTTTCTGCTGGTCTTTCCCTGCCTCTGCCAGCCACTTATGCTGCTCTTCTCCCCTCTCCTGGAGAAGTCCGCAGACCAAGAACCCACCGGAAGGAACCAATTCCGAACACAGTACGATCAAGCAGGCAGCAAGGAAAAGCAATATGCTTTTTCCAGACCAACCACAAGTCATTTTATAGAAAGAATAAAGAGTTTTAAATGACCAGAGGGAAGTTAGCTGATACAGTACTCGAGTAAACCTCAGCTTAATCATTAATGCTTAAATATTAATTATATTAAATATAATGCATCTCTCAGATGTAGGCTCTGAAAGCCTCAGTGGCATCTATCTTAATTAGAAAAGTATTTCAGTGTGTGGCTCTCTGAATAGAATTTTGTTTTTCTCATCAAACAGGCTGGTTTTGGTTATGGATTGCCCATATCACGTCTTTACGCACAATACTTCCAAGGAGACCTGAAGTTGTATTCCCTAGAGGGTTACGGGACAGATGCAGTTATCTACATTAAGGTAATAGCTGTAGTCTTCTTGATTTAATATTTCTTTTGATGATAAGAATAGATGCCCATACTTAACTGTAATGAAATTTAACTCTACCACATGCTGTTTACATAGAAAAAAGATTATGGTTTTTTGCCTGGGTTCTCACCAAATTTGATAGATGATCCCCTCAACTATGGGGAAAGAGATTTGTATCCTGGAGTGATCAGGACTCTGGCTATTAATAGGAAAAAAATTGGGTTAAAGTAGAGAATCATAAGTTATATATCATACAAGTTTAATTTTAACATAAAACACATGAATGAACATTGATATACCAAACTTTTGATGTACTGCCAAGGCCTTTTCCTTGTATATGGGTCTGCAGATAGGAGTGTCACATTGTCTTTTTTGCAAAAGCTGTACTGACAGTGCATCATTTTAGTTTCTTTAAACAAACAAGTGCATACTCTTTTTGGACTTTTATGCTGTCCTTTACAGATACCTCCTGACTGATTTGACAGCAAGTTTTATGTGACTTTCCTTCAGGAGTCTTTCCAAAACATTCATCTTAGTTTTCAAAGAAACATTCCCTTTTTTATTCTTTGCTAATGTAATAGATTTTGTAATTATAATGACAGAACTGTACAGATTTGGGAATAAGCACAAGTGACTCTTGGTAAGCATATAGCTTACCCGATGGACACAGAAGCACTTAGTTTGCTTGCCTGGAGTGTTCAATGCATTAAGGAGGGATCCATACATTTTTACATGGTTGGAAAAACACTAGGTTCCATCGTTTCCCTTCTTCAGCTAACTGGTGACTGTTCATGCCTGATTTAGTGACTCTAGTTTCTTGTTCTGGCCACTAGATGGCATCTATTTGATAGAAAATGTTGAAGAATTTATACTGGAAAAATCTGAAAAGACTAAATTCTTTCCAGATGGTATTTTTTGTTTGTTTTTTTAACCATGTCAATTGTGAGGAAAAAGGGCAACATCAATGCAATTTTTTTTTTTTTTTTTTGCACAGAGTCTTGCTCTGTCACCTAAGCTGGAGTGCAGTGGCATGATCCTGGCTTACTGCAACCTCCGCCTCCCGGGTTCAAGCTGTTCTGCCTCAGCCTCCCAAGTAGCTGGGACTACAGGCGCCTAATGTTTGTATTTTTAGTAAAGATGGGGTTTCACCATGTTGGCCAGGCTGACCTCAGGTGATCACTTGCCTTGGCCTCCCAAAGTGCTGGGATTACAGGCGTGGACACTGTGCCTGGCCCAATGCAGTATTTTTATGACGAAATATAACATTTTGATCTAGCCCAGGAGTGTCCAGTCTTATGGCTTCCCTGGGCCATATTGGAAGAACAACTGTTTTGGGCCACACATAAAATACACTAATGATAGCTGATGAACTTAAAAAAAAAATTGCAAAAAAAAAAATCTCATAATGTTTTAGGAAAGTTTACAAATGTGTTGAGCTTCATTCAAAGCCTTCTTGGGCTGCATGCAGCCTGTGGGCCATGGATTGGACAAGCTTGATCTAGCCTATAGATCCAGAAATTCTGGAATATTTAGAGAGAATATGGAGGTGAAAGGTTTTTAGTTCTACCTTAGAGAAAATAGAAGACAAGAAGTCTTAGAGAATCATTAAAATTGTCAACATCAAAGACTGTAGTGCCAGGCGCGGTGGCTCACGCCTGTAATCCCAGCACTTTGGGAGGCCGAAGCGGGCGGATCACGAGGTCAGGAGATCGAGACCATCCTGGCTCACACTGTGAAATCCCGTCTCTACTAAAAATACAAAAAATTAGCCAGGCGCGATGGCGGGTGCCTGTAGTCCCAGCTACACAGAAGGCTGAGGCAGGAGAATGGCGTGAACCCGGGGGGCGGAGCTTGCAGTGAGTGGGGATTGCGCCACTGCACTCCAGCCTGGGCGACAGAGCGAGACTCCATCTCAAAAAATAAAAAAAATACTTTAGCCTTATCAGAATGAGATTTTCTGGTTCAGGATGTTCTGCATCTTAGGAAATGCCTTTGGCCTGGGGTGGAAATACTACTGAAAAATCCTAACTTGAAGAAGATAACCAGAAATGTAGTTTATCTCGGGTTCCAGTGACTTTCAGGAAATACAATGGAGAATTAATGGTAATAATATATTGAAAACATGAAATAATGCATGATGCAGCAATCTTGTGCACAGTGACTGAAATCGGAGGCTTTAGAAGACGCAGGTTCAAACCCAGGGCCAAGAAATGTTCACAAAAAAGCCAAGATGCCTTAGACATAGATTTATATTTATTAATAATGTTATAATGAGTTTTAAAATTTTTATGTGTTTATAGAGACAATGTCTTGCTGTGTTGCCAGGCCAGAGTGCAGTGGTACAGTCACAATTCACTACAGCCTTGAACCCCTGGGCTTCAAGTGATGCTCCTCTCTCAGTCTCTCAAGTAGTTAGGACTACACTCATGTGCCACCATGTCTAGCTGATATTTTTATTTTGTGTAGAGACAGGATCTTGCTATGTTGCCCAGGCTGGTCTCCAACTCCTGGGCTCAAGCAATCTTCCTGTGTAAGCTTCCCAAAGCACTGGGATTATAGGCATAAGCCACTGTGCCTGGCTTGTGATGAGTTTTTTTAAAGCACAGTGACTATACTGAAAAAAAAAAAACAAACTATTTCTTCTAGTAAATAATTAAAATAGAGTTCATTAATTTTATATACATATATTAAGATACATATATCGATTTGTATGTTTTTACATTTAACCAACTTCTTCAGTTTGCCAACTCTGATCTGGGTCATGTTTTGTGTAAAATTTCAATACAGCAGCTTCCAGGATGGCTGGGAGCTACTGTAAGCAACAAACTCAGTCAACCTGCACATCAGTCAGTGCCATAGATTTAATAAATAAGATGTTTCAAATATACATAACCATTTAAAAGTATAGTTAGGTGGTATAAGGATTAATAAGATACTAATAGAATGTTATCTAATTTGTCATAACCTTTTTACCATTCTCTATTTTCTCAAATAATGAATTCTTAAAAATGCCAGACTTAATAGGTCTTAGGTTTGTTTTTTTTTTTTCAGGCTTTGTCAACAGACTCAATAGAAAGACTCCCAGTGTATAACAAAGCTGCCTGGAAGCATTACAACACCAACCACGAGGCTGATGACTGGTGCGTCCCCAGCAGAGAACCCAAAGACATGACGACGTTCCGCAGTGCCTAGACACACTTGGGACATCCGGAAAATCCAAATGTGGCTTTTGTATTAAATTTGGAAGGTATGGTGTTCAGAACTATATTATACCAAATACTTCATTTGTCATTTTCACAAAACTATTTGAGTAGAAAAAATGGAAACCGAATTCCATTTGTGCCCATTAAACCTCCTAAAGGATGAAATCACACCTATTTTACACTTATATTTCACAGTAATTGAACATATTTTTAAACAACTGTAGTTTTGGTCAACTTTTTGCTTTGTGGTAGACTTCAGAAGTGTGGAAATCTTTGGGTTTCTATAGGAAACTAGTTTTTTTTAAAAAAAACTTTGTTTGCTAGAAACATTTTCTAAATAATAGTGATTAGCTGGTTAGCCATCTTCCTGTTATTTGGAGGAGTTCTGCCGTCTTTATTCGGTAGTAATATGGTCTTCATGTTTATCAGTGACTGACTACAAGTAAAGCAGAAAACAGTTGCCCTGTAATCACAGAACCAGCCACCATTCGGCGTCTATGTGCATTGTCTTAGCTATGAGGTTAATTCATCATTTTAAAATTTTATTGTAAAGAAGTGTAATGACTATCTCTCTGTGGATCTATGCCAAAATCATGGGCCGTCTGTTCTAAGTGTACTTGTGATTAATGCAAGGAGAAATTTTTATACTGAAAACAAACATACTAGCAGCTACTAAAATAGAGAAGAAATTGAGGGCAAAGTAATATGTCTCCAAAACTGAACTGATTGCTTGTTGAGATTACCTAGAAAGCTTTTGGAAAAAAATGGAGTTTTTCTGCGTCCTAAACTCCAGATATACTGAATCAGAATCCCTAGGACTAGAGCCTAGAAATCTCACTTTTAAAAATGCTTCCTAGGTGAGTCTGATGCCTACCCTAGGTTGGGAACCACTCTTTCAAAGTAAGTAGTGATGACACAGCATTTACTAAAGTAACATCTGTAGGTTTTGGTTTCCACCTATTTAAAGCCAGATTTATAGACTCGAGAAGACAGAAACTGAATCCCACACCTGGTGCAATTAGAAGCATAATTAGAAGCAGAAGAACAAAATGCCAGGTAGCCAAAGCATCAGAGCCATCATTGCTCAAGTCTTTTTTCTTTCTCTTTTTCTTTTTTTTTCTTTTTTTGAGACAGGGTCTCGCTCTTTTGCCCAGGATGGGGTGCAGTGGCATGATCAAGGCTCATTGCAGCCTCAATCTTCCGGGCTCAAGTAATCCTTCTACCTCAGCCTCCTATATAGCTGGAACTACAGTTGTGCATTACCACACCCAGCTAATTTTATTTATTTCTTGTAGAGATGAGATCTCGGTATGTTCCCAGGCTAGTGTTGAACTCCTGAGCTCAAGAAATCCTCCTGCCTGAGTCTGAAAGTGCTGGGAGTATAGGCATGAACCACCACACGTGGCCTATTGCACAAGTCTTGACAAACAACATATATTTTCTAAAACTATCCAAGTTTTGTTATCAGGGAGAAGTTTGCTTAGGTTTATTAGAGCAGTCCTTTGCATTCGTATGGTAATTTGTACTTTACAAACACTTTGATATATTATAACTCTATTGGTCTTTGAAACAAAGTGATGCAGTGTAGGTGGTATCATTGTCTTTCTCACTCAGTGTGGCCCAGAGTTGCTCAGAGTTGGAGCAGACCCTGAGGTGTATCTGCAGATCCTGTCATCAGCTGGCAAGTCCAGGAGACTGTGTCATTTAGAGACTTGTTGTTAGTTACCCCTCAACATCTTTTAAGGTGGCAGGAAAATACAGTGGACATAACATTTTAAAGTAAAAATTTTAAAGTTTAAAGAAGAGTTTTGCCACTTAAACGGGAGAGCTTTGTCTGGAAAATCCATTGAGTTGAAACACTTCATCCTTGGAAGGATTATGTAAGATGAACAATTGTGATAAATGTGTGGATTAGAGGCAGTTAGTGAATAGGCAGTTAGTCCAGTGCCCTCATTTAAGAGGCCAAGATCCTGATTCAGAGTAGGCATCCTTTGCCCAGAGCTTCTTAGCTAATCTGACCAAATGTTGGGGAAAATGTCTCACCTAACCCACTATTCCTTAATTATGGATTTTGTGAAAAACAATGGAACATGTTAATGAGTAATTTATATTAGTTTGATGTATTACAATTTTTTAGCTTTAAATTACACTTTTCTTATAATGATGAAATGTTTTAGAATCCTTTGAATCTAAGTATTTGTTTCCTAAATGAAACATTTGTACAACATTTGATGTTTTTACTTATGAAATATTCTCCTCCCTCAAGAAAATTAAAACTTTTTCTCTCTATTTAAAAGCTAAGAAATGTTTTAAAGGAAAAATGAAATTTTTTCCTTTAGCTTATTTTTTTTTTTTTTTTTTGAAACGGAGTCTCGCTTTGTGGCCCAGGCTGGAGTGCAGTGGCCGAATCTCAGCTCACTGCAAGCTCCGCCTCCTGGGTTTATGCCATTCTCCTGCCTCAGCCTCCCGAGTAGCTGGGACTACAGTTGCCCGCCACCTCGCCTGGCTAGTTTTTTGTATTTTTTAGTAGAGACGGGGTTTCACCATGTTAGTCAGGATGGTCACGATCTCCTGACCTCGTGATCCGCCCGTCTCGGCCTCCCAAAGTGCTGGGATTACAGGCTTGAGCCACCGCGCCCGGCCCTTTAGCTTATTTTTTAAGGTAAAACATCTTTTTACTCTGTTATTGTGGTAATGGACAGAAAATTACATACAAAAATATTCTGGGAGAGCTTTCTCCTAGTTGGTTTTAAATCCTTGTGCTACCTGAAAGGTTTTTAGATTTTACAGGAGCTATTTTGTCCACCAGCATTAATGTAACACAGTGTAGTTATGAAAATATATTGAAGGACAAGAAGTGGACACGAAGTGATTTTTGTAACCTGAGCAGTTAATGAATGTGTCAACATTTTCTAGGAAGGGACAGCAAGAATATTCTGCTCTGTAGTTAAAATACTGGCGGGCCTTTGATGTCTTCATGCTTAGTTGTGATCACTTTCTTGCACTGTGATGTTTTTACGTGAATATGTTGAAGTGGAAGTCTACCTTATTATTTTATAAAATGTTTTCTGTACGACAATAAACTGAAAACATGGATCAACTCTTATTTTGAAAATAAACTGAGTCAATTTAGCCTTTTAAAAATATGGTCATCTCTTTTAAATAGAATCCTCTTCCACCATCAAGGCTCAACATTTTGTAAGCATCCAAAAAATTGATAGTTAGGGGGCTTGCGCTAAATTTCACTATCTTCAGTAGAGAGGAACTGTTTGGAACTTAGATTTCCAATGTGTATATTCTAATAGAGAAAGCAAGAGGTAGAGTTTGTATGTTTGACTTACCCTAGATTTTTATTTTCCATACATACCACAGATGATTGACTTGTTGCATAAATGAAGATCTTCTATTGTGTGCTTTTCAAACACTGTAAATAAATTTGAAATTTGAATAACTTTCCACAGTATAACTGTAAAAAAAAAAAAAAAAAAAAGTCTTAATTTAACCAGCATTATTACCCTCTGCTTGTACCAGCTGAATGGCAGAACTAAACTCCTATAAATTCCTATCCTATTTCTAACTGATGGGATATAGGCACCACAATTTCCCTTCATTGTTGAAGCCAACAAGTTCCATAACAGAACTCCAGAGGTAAAGAGCTGGGGAAACTGTTAGTTTTAAGGTCACACTGTTGCCCTGTGAATGACTAATCAGAGGAAGCCAAAAAACAGCCAACCAATTTCAGTTTATGTCTTTAATTGTGATGTAAGTGTGAAGTATCTACATATGGGTAATCATGGTTGAGTTAGGTAGTTTGCAAACATGACTTTTGCTGGAGGAACTTTTAATCATGTCTGATTAATTTTTGGCCCCAATAATTAATTTTCTTACAGTCAAACCCAATGCACTTGAAAAATAATATAATTAATACTGTGTGAAGAATTTTTTCCATGTTAAAAAAAGCAAATCACTAGTTTGCTTAGTTCTGGCATTCATAAAGTACTGCGCCTTCTGTTCTATTGACATGTTTGGAAAAAAGAATTGAACATATGTACCACCCCCCTCTTTCTAAAGTCTCCACAGTTCTTTAGCAATTGCTAACCGTAGGTTTTTAATAGCAAAAGACAAGATTGTCAGTTTTTGGTGCAAAACTCTACTCTTTTTGGTTGACTTGGAAAAGCTGTTGTTTATATTGGGAATTGTGACAACTGTCTTTTACTTTGTTAAATTAGAGATTATTTAGCAAAAATATAGTTTCACCCCGGTAAAATAAACTTCCACGTGAGGGTTGTGTTCATTCAGGGTATTTTTTGAGAGTGGAAGTACACTTCCTGCATTTGTCACAGATAATATCAGAAATTTTGTTGTTTTGATTAAAGTGTTGCCATCTACTTATAAGTTAAAAATGCTGAGAAGGTTTTTTTTGGAAACAGTTTATGAAGCCAGGACACTTTTAAGTTTGACTCAAATATAAAAAGCCACAGTATTCTTGCCATGGTTTTGTACTTAGATGTCTCTCATTATGGGATTCAGAATGTAACAGTTATAGTACTGTATGAAAACACTTAATACACAGTTCTACAGTTACAGTATTGCATGAAAATACAGTATGGTGTGAAATTATTTGTCCAAAACTGTACTCTACTCTCAGTATCTCCATAATGCCCAGTATGTAGTAGGCACCTGTAATTGTGAAGCAGCCTCGTCTGGGGTAAATACCAAGGTTCTTGGTTTCACGGCCAAGGAAATGGAGGTTGCAGACACACAGTTTGGAGCGGTTTAATAGGCAAAAGGAAAGAACAGCTCTCTGTTACAGAGAGGGGTCCCGAGCAGGTTGCCAAGTTGTAGTAAAAATGTCAGGGTTTTTATAAATGGGCTAGTGAGGAGGAAGCTCGTGAGGAGGGGATGTCTTATTCTCCTAGGGCCGGAGGGCGCTTTAGTTGGGACCAGGTGTGCTATCTGTGCAGAGCAGAGCTTTTTATCAGCTCTTATCCCAGTCCCTGACCATGTAGGCTCTTAGACTCTTAGTCTGTGTTTCTTTGTCCTGCTTATCTGGAAGGGAGAGTTTCTGTGTCTGTTCCCATACATCTTGCAGCTGCAGGCATCCCCTCTAGTCTGCTTTTAGCTTCCTTATCT